CTACAGGGTGGCTTCAAAATGTGTGGGTGGATCGGGATGATTTTTTTTAAATGGAACACAAACCCTAATATCAGTCATGTTAAATCCTCTTTGCGGTCTTTCTAATTTTGTTGATATACTCTTTCCTGGATATTTTTATACGATGGTATAATGAAACTGATAAACAATACGAATTCTTACAATCAGAACTGGTTTATAGGACCAGAAATATAAATAAATCGCATTTAAAAAAGTCATTGTAGCTGACGAACCACATCCTCTAAGTTAAAACGACAAAGGGCAGTTGGTCCTTTCCATCTTACCGCTGATAGAATAATAAACCTGTAAACTTCGTTTCTTACCGAAAAGAAATACGTCCCAAGAATAACAAGCGACGTAAATGACAGAAAGGTCCAGATAATGAAAAACAAATTCGTCCAGGATTTTTTGGAATCCAATATTCCTCATATTAAATTCATTTTGGCGAGTAGGCAAGAAAACGAGAAAAAAAACTTTCGTCGGAGGAATTTCAAACAATAGTAAATACTGTATTTGAATTTTGAATACCAACTAAACTTTTTTCTTTTTTGGGTAGTATTTTTGGCCTTAGTAAAAAAAAGAAAAAACAATCTTAAAATAAAAAGCTAATGATGTACCGTATTATCGAAAAAAAAACAGCGTCAAAGAGGGCTGGAGTATAACAATAAGTGATAATTTTTGCTGAGCTCAATATCTAGACGTCATTTCTACTAATTACCGAAAAATTCAACGTTCCCAGATACACAAATCTATTTTCAAAAAATTATTTTTTTTTCTAATTTTAAACTACACCATTTAAAAATTAATTTTTACTCAATAAAAAAAATGCCACCTTCTTAAGGCCAACTGGCAGTAATCACCATTAAGAAACCAGTACGAGCCAAGTAAAGAACGTCTAGGGCTTCACCTCGCGAAAAGCATTATCGATTATCATTCCCCCAGCCGACTATGACGCCGTTTTTTTTTTCGATGGTGTGGTATTTTATCATCTTGGTCTTTTACTACCCAACCTAACCCATAGTCTTTTTAGATAAAACACAATACAGTTATTTGACTGTATACAATCCACATCATTTTGTCAAAAAAGTTCTAGCTTTATATATTATATTTGTTGAAATCAGCGCCGGTTTATACGTAAAGCGGAACAAGCGGCCGCTTGGGGGCCCATATTTCGGTCGTAAAAAAATATAAATATGAAAATGAAGCAGAAGTCAATAAATAAATGGTCTTTTAAAAAAGGTAAAGTAAATATTTTAACTAAATTTTTTTATTATGTACAATATAATGTTCATGATCAACGATCAACCGGGAAGGGTTTAGTAGATATAATAATTTATTGTTCTGCTCGGTGGTATCTTAAAATTGAGTTATTTTTTAATGAAATTAAATCTGCGAAGTATTATTCTCTTATAGTGGATTCCACACCTGATATTAGCCATTGTGATCAATTAACTTTTATTTTAAGATACATACATAATAAACAAGTAGAGGAAAGGTTCTTGGGATTGATTAAAATAGAAAAACACACTGGCAGAATATCTTAAAGATGTTGTTTAAAAAACTAGAAGCCTTAGGCTTAAAATTGAGAACTGTCGTGGGCAATCTTATGACAATGCAGCTAATATGTCTGGTAATTATAACGGGCTGCAAGGCTGCAAGCTAGAATCAAGCTGTTATCTCCTACTGCTGTATACCATGTGCGAGCCATTCTTTAAACTTATCAGTTAATTTTTCAAGTGAATCTTGTCTTCAGGCTTCCAATTACTTTTCCTTAGTTCAAGAAATGTACGTATTCTTTTTCTAATCCACCCACCGTTTGTCTATTCTATTAAGTCGGTGTAAAATTCTTAAACATCTTAGTGGTACTATATTGTCAGCCCAGGCTGATGCAGTTGCTGCTCTTAAACTAAATTATAAAGCAATTATAGAATTTTTTTCTGTCATTGCGAATGACCAAGGTGAAAAACCAATAGCAAGAAATGAAGCCTCTGCACTTCTAAAGAAAATGCAAAAATTCGAACCTGCATTGTTGACTACCATATGGTTTAAAATCTTAGAAAGTGTTAATGCTACGAGCAAAGCTTTGCAAGATCCATCACTAAATATATTTACTAGCATAGAGTTATTGAAGTCATCGAGTTATCATTTATCAAAACACTCCTTTGAAATTTTGACGGTATCGACTTTAGTGGATGACGCTACCTATTAGAACTACTAACTATTATTATTAAGAACATAATACTAACTAGAAAAAGAACTCTAACTAGAAAAAGAAAAGTATTTTCGACGAATCAAAAGAAAATGAAGTTCACATAAGTGGCAAAGAGAAGTTTAAGGTGGAAGCCTATTACGTAATATGTGACTCCATAATTCAAGATCTTGAAAGACGAATTAAAAGCTATCACACTGTTAACGAACGTTTTAAGTTGTTTTTTAGCAATATCGATGACATAGCATTTGAAGAGTCTGCCAATATCTTGAAAAATACATATAAGTCGTATGTAGAAGGAGATGTATTAAATGATGAAATGGCTCATTTTCGAATACTATGTGCCAATATGAATAAAATGGAAATGATTGAAAAATTTGAACTTGTGCAGTCACTAAAATCAACTTTCCCTAATGTGCTTACGTTGCTTGAAATTTATTTTACTATAGCAGTTTCTAATGCTAGCGGGTAACGTTCATTTTCTGCGTTAAAAAGGATTAAAACTTATTTCAGATCTACCATTAGCCAAGAGAGACTCGATGCCCTTTCTCTGATCCACATAGAAGGATCAAATATCGAAAAATTAGATTGCAATTTAATAATTGACCAGTTGGCAAAAGAGAAATGTAGAAAGCAACACATTTGATCAATGTCCCAAATTTTTATTTTGTTTACTTATTAAGTTATTTCTTTTATGTTCTGTTCACAAATTATAAATGTTTTATTTTTGCGTTAAATGCTGTTTAATATTATTTAAAATGTTTTTTTTTTATAAAATGTTTAACAAAATGCATTGTATTCGTTGAAACTTCTTTTTACATAGATAATTTAGTAAATCGTACAACGCACTACATGCCTAACCATAATCATTATGTATAACAAACATAGGATAGGGGGGCCCGAAAAAAAATCCGCTTGGGGCTCAGTGGCCCTTAAAACCGGTCCTGGTTGAAATAACTGTATCCACTATCCACAGGGTCCGGCAATAGTGCGTCAGGCATCTGTAACTCTTAGAATAAAAAACTTGAGAATTGTGTTTAAGTGCAAACCAAAAGTATATACGAAAATGTATTCCAGGAAAATATTTTAACTTTGTCCCTTTAAAAATAAAACAATGACAAATCATTTTATATTTTAGAAAGTTTAGCGTAGAATTTTGAACATCCTGTATGATTTACGATTACCATTTTTATAGCAAAGTACAGATTATCTAAAATAGGTATATATCTAATATAGTTTTCATTTCATGACTGTTCTTGTATTTTTAATAACTTTTTTGAGAAGGGATGAAAAATGTAGGTATTTTTTTATTAATATCCCTGAAACTATCGAAATATATTTAGTCATATCTTAGGATTATGTAAAGTGATCTGAAAAGTAGCCAAAAATACAATAATATACGGGGTGTTCCATTTAAAAAAATCATCCCGATCCACTCACACTTTTTTGAGCCAACCTACAGAAGTTAAAATATTTTCCTGAAATACATCCTGGGGGTGGGGTGTGCTGGGGTTGAGCCCAGGGGGGACCTAGGTCTTTTGTTCTTTAAAAAAATAAGAATAATATTAAAAAACACATTTTTTGAATAAGACGTTTACATGAATTTCTCTATCAATAAATTTCATACACTTGGTTATCAAACCGTGTTCCTGTAGATTAAATAAATACCTACAAATTTTATAAAAAAAAATAACACATTTTTTGAACACAAAAAATAATTTTAACTAAACAAAACTAGAAAACGTCATTTTTACTACATCACAAGCAAATAAAAATTAATACGTAGCCCAGAGTCGTAATTCAAGATTTCTCTGGGGGGTGCCCAGCAAAACAAGGGGGGGGGGGCTGGCACCCCGGGTACCACTGTAGTTACCCCAATGCCCTAATAGAAAGAACCCGTTCAGGGCTGTTACTGAATTTTTCACAATCGCCATTCGCTTTGGCATTAAAATATGTGTAAGAGTAGGTACCAAATATCAGGAAAAACGGTTTACCAATGTTCTTAAGAATAAACAAAATATATTACAAAGGCTGTAACGTCTTCGGGAAGCATTTTAGGACATATATTTATATGTTCATCAGAACTTTTTGTTTTATTTTCACCTGTAGAATCGCCCGCCAAAGTTAGATGTACTATTTTTTTGACACCCTGTATATTCAGAATCAACTACCACTTCTAATAATTTACAAAAATAATAATAAAAAAAGCCTGTAAGTATTATCAAAAAATAAAAATTGTACAAGTTTGGTACACTAAAATTAAGTTTTTTTTATTTAAATAAAAATAATGTATTCAGAATCTTTTATTCATAGCACTTAAAATTTTATAATTTCGGTAATGTCCCTAATTTCTAAAGCTAATTTCTGTAATTTTTGTTCTCTTTCGCCATCTAAGGGAAAGCTGACGAATCAAATACACAACTGCTAAAGAATTCTATCATCTAGTAGTTTGCTTGCCGCGCCATCTTACCCAAAAAAGCTAAACTAACACATAAAATCAAAACAGAAAACTTTAAAATAAGAAAACCTAAATTTTAAATTTCAAAAGACTTCATATAAAAGCAGAAAATACTGTTTACTTTAATAAAAATGACTCACTCACAAAGGTCTTTGTTTTTTCTCTAGATAATAATATACAAGGATAATATGTATTAAATTCCTTGTGTCCCAAATTCTAAATCATAAATAGGTATATCATAAAATATCAAATAAAATCAGTTTTTTATAACTTCATAAACAGAAAACTGCAATTAAAATTTGAACCGTCAAAAGATTTTATAACCTAACAAAGTATTGTCAAAATATATTAGTTTTAAATGAGTCACAAAAGTAAATATAGATTGTGTTTAATTTGTTTTTATTCTATAACTTAAATATGTCTTTTTTGAATTTTTGGTCGAAACCTGATCCTAAAGGTAATTTTTAATGTACTTTAGATTTTTTATAATGTATACTTTTAGAGGAGCAGAAGGAAACAGATCGCGCACTGAGAAAAGTTGGCAGAGATTTGGAACGGGACAGACTAAAACTTGAAAGGGAAGAAAAAAAATTGGTATGACACTACAAAAACATGTTAAATATACAAGCTGTACAAGTTATTTTAGGAACAAGAAATTAAAAAGCTAGCGAAGGAAGGAGATAAAGAGGGCTGCACAATATTAGCAAAACAGTTGGTTCAACTCCGTAAACAGAAGACTCGATCATATGCAGCTAGTAGTAAAGTCACTGGAGTTCAGTTCCAAAATAAGGCAATGGGAGCCAATGTAAAACTAGCCGAGTCTATGGGCATTGCTGGAAAAACTATGTCAAATATGAACAAAATGATGAGACCTGAACAAATATCAGCCACAGTCAATGCATTTTCTAGGGAAAATATGAAAATGGAAATGACAGATGAAATGAGTATATATTATTATAATTTAAATTAACTCCCCTAATTTTTATCATATTGTTTTAGTTAATGATACTTTAGATGAAATGCTTACAGAATCTGGAGATGAAGAAGAAAGTGATAACATTGTCAGCCAAGTTTTGGATGAAATTGGAATTGAAATCAGTGGAAAGGTAACTATTTATGACCTGGTAATAGCTTTATTAGTCACTGTTTATTTTTATTTAGATGTCTGGAGCACCTTTGCCAGAAACTGGCAAACTAGGGGCCAAATCAAAGGGCCTAACTGATGAAGAAATAGAAGCACAATTAGCTAATCTGCGCTCTTAATAACTATGTGATAAATAAAACACATTAGTTAAATCACAATTTTTATACTTGAGATTAATACAAGGTACAGTTGTTAAAATTTTTAAAAATATGTTATAAACAATGAACAGTAGTGGTGAATGGTTATATTCGAAACTTAGTTATACATTTTTATATTATATATCTTTGGTGTTTAGCCAGAAAAATTGAATCTTTTATTTTTCAAAATCTGCTAATTTTCTCTTAAGTTACTTTTATATATGGTAATGTTTATTTATACTTATCTCAGTACACTATAGTAGCTTATACAAAATCTGCTAGACGCAGCTTAATTCACATTACAAAATGATAGTTTTAATTTGAAATATAAAAAGATGTATAAAATTTCCTATCTATATCTATTTGTAAATAAGTACTAATATAAAGTTAATATAAATAAATACATATGTAGATCACCTACAAGTACCTATGTATGTATGTTGTTAATAAACTTTATTTTTCTACACACAATATTCATCCTATATGGATAGTATTAAATAAATTAAGAACATAAATTTTAGACACATCACTAAACACAATAATATGTCATGGAATGCATAAAAAAATAGAAAACCCCTAAAAGAAGATATTTACATAATCTCTTAAGCTACTCAAACTATGTTAAAAATAAAAGGAATGCAAACAAATTACTAATTTTAGGCACTTGGTTTGTATAAACACTGACTAAAGAAGTGCACTCAAAATTAACTACAAAGAACACTCATATCAATGAACTACCCCAGAATCTGGGGTACCTTGACGACTTACGCTTCTTAAATTATATTTCCTAGTTTGTGTACCAAGCTGTCGCCTGGCAAAACTGCTATGAAAACCATTACTCTCTTTTGAATCAACACTAGATTCTCTATCTAAATTCTTTGGAAAAATATTTTTAATTTCAGCACCAACTGATTGAAAGTATTTTTTTAAATTCGGGTCTGGAGAACTTCCCTTATTACAATAATCATTTTCACTGATATAACTAATGTTAGATGAGTTTAAAGCCGTTTTATTGTTACTTAAATTCTCTAAAGAGAATAAAATTTTACTATTCTGTTTCTTAATATCGCTAAGCAAAGAAACATTGTATTCTAAAATGTCCTTGTATATTATTATACTGTATACTATAATAACAGCACCTAGAAAAGTAAATGCATATCTTGAATACCAGACAAAATTGTAAATGTTACTGTATAAGTTCTGTGTATCATAATCTTCTTGAAATTTTGTATACAGAGAACATATCAGTCTTTCAGTTAGAAGGTTTAAGAAAAGTAAAAAGAATAATGGTAATCGAGCAGATAACGTTCTACGTGATGATGTTAAAATAAATATTAAAATTAAAGAAAAAACATTAAAAATTATAGAGTCTATCCAAGATACTTCCCCAATAATCCATGTTTGTAAACTAGTGACACTCTGAGAAAGTATCTAAAAAAAAAATCAAGAGTAATTATTTATTATAATGAAATAAATTAAAAATTAAAGTATACCTTTAAAATCTCTTGATGTGCTTTTGTTGATACATAAACATCATCTAAAACTTGCTCCAAATATTTACCCTGTTTCATCATTTTCTCTTGCAATTCAATACTCTCCCTCTGTACTTTTATCAAGTTTTCTTGCTGCTCAGCTGAAACTTCTAATTGTTTTCCTACTTTTAATGTGTTTTCTGCTATTTTTTCGTGCCATATTTGTCCTCTTAGAAACCAGCAAATATTTTGAGTGTGGGTATAAAATTCAGTATAAACATTAAATGCCCTATCTGACATGCTATTGATACAAATTCCCCTCAAATTAGGTTTCTTGTCCAGTTCACAGTTATATGTTTCATGGCCTGACATTTCCAGAAAACAGTTTGTGATATGTAAAGCAATATCACTTTGAGTGTCTTCCGAAAGATATCTACAACCCTCATTTAAATGTTCTAGGGCAGCTTTCCAACATGGACCATATTTGGGAAGAGCTCCTCTTTCCTTTATCATCTAAATGAAGCGTTTAAATTAAAAAACAATTCAAAGATATCGATAAGAAAATCATAATATATGAATCCTTTGTGTAATAAGTTTACTCTATCAAATGTTTACCTGATATTGTACTCTGCCCTGTTCTGCCATTTCTTTGTTTCCATCTCCATAAACATAAATAAAATCTTCGAAACCCACTGCGTATACCACAAAATAAAATAAAAAGGTCTGCATAATCTGAACGGTCATTTCAATTACAAACAAATATTTAAAATAATCTGTTTGTTTACGTTTTTCAGTTAGTTAACCTACAACTTCAAGTTTGACCGTTTAAAATGTTCTTTTCTTCTAGGAGCATGCGCCACAATTATTGGTTATCTCTTTTATTCAGTGAAATAGAAAAAGATGCCCATCATGGCCTTGGAGAATTACAGTTTTTATTGGACAATTTTGAAATTTAGTTTGGCTTTTCTCCAGTAGATGGCAGAAGAATTCATTAATTTTAATTTTTATAAAAAATATTTGTTTTCAACAAAGGTTTTCAACGGTTTAAAAATGATAAAATTATCTAGTTGTAGTTTATTATCAATGTAAATTAAGATTTCCATTGTGTCCTATATAATAAATAATAATATACAGAGAGCTTATATTTCAAATTAAATTGTTTTCTTGAAAAGGGTAGCTTAATAATTCAGAGAATTCCTGAATTATTCTGGAATTTTCCTTATTATCAGAAGATTCAATTATGGTAGGTACCTATAGGGTGTTAAATAATTTAGTTGGAATGGGGGTCTGGATTTTTCTGTTAAAATATTTTTACCACTGTTACTATATACTAATAGTGTATTTACCATGCAATTTACCAGATTGTACCACTTTTTTACTGCTACAGTTACTAACTACATGTTACAAAATTAATTTTTATACTTAATCCAAATGTTTGATTGACATTTCTTCCGCTGGATTTTGTGATCTTTAAAACATTTTGAGATTTTTCTCCATATACTTATTTACTGTATGAACGAAAAAAAAAACGACGTCGAATTAGGTTGGAAATCACGATGGACTGCATTAAAATAAAATGAGGGCGATCGTAATTTTAACTCTAAAGCAATTTTTTTTGATCATCTGCAGTTTATCAAATGCTCACAGATTGTAAAACAAACAAAATTTAATTTCTTTAACATTTTGTAATAGGTACCCAACAAGCAAAATTTATTGCTGGAACATTGCCAAAACTTCGCAAAGCAAGGTGTAACATTGCATTTTTCATTGTAGGGAGGTTTATGCAAGGTTTCAGGGTAGCTTAATCTTCCGCCAAATAACATTGCAGTGCAAGGTTGCATTTCACAATATTATTGAAACGTTGCTAATGTAACGTTCAAGAAAGTACTAATTTGGGATGTATTAGCAATATTGTTAATTTTACGTCAATACAATATTGGTAAAATAAATATCTTTGGTAAAATTATATTATTATTAATTATAATTAACTGACTTATTGCTAAAATAATTTAGCAAAAAATAGATAATGTTTGCATTAAAAAAACCATTTCATTCATCAGAGGGAAAATATAAAAATTATTTTTTAATATTTACTTATCAATTAATGAAACAGTTAATTTTTGTTAACACAAACACAATTTTATGTTAACAATAATACATCAGTAATAGGTTATAATCAACAGAAACATTAATGGGTATTAAATTGTAGACTTTCAGATATGTATAATATACTTTTACTAATATTGTATTGACGAAAAACATAAACAATATTGATAAAAATAGGTATATCTCTATATCCATTGACTTAGAAAAATAAAAAATGCTCGGTAAATATATCCCTACCAAGAAAGTCGAATTTGTCAAATTGAAAAAAAAACAAATCAAAATTAGAAATTTATCACTTGTTTCAAAAATATCACAGTTAAGTACTGAGAACTTACTAATCTTTTCGGTTGCTCATTAAATAAGGAATTACTCAACTCTGACCTCCGAGTCGAATTTCTAAAAAAAATCTTAAAGTTGAATGTATGAAATAATGTGAAATATATAGGTAAAAGTTATAAACATTATTTTATATACCACCGAACTTATTCAAAAATACAAAAGGAAAGTATAACATTAAATGTATGTAGAAGGAAAAGCAAACTTTTATATTTTAATTGATTTTTTGGATCTTTCATATTTTGTCTTCGCATGTTGAATTGTTTTATTCATGATTTCAAATTCCTCTTCGGTAAAGTTTTGAAATCTATATCCAATCATTTCTAAAGTAGTAAAAATAAAAACAATCAGTTGTAATAAATAAAAAGCAATGAGAAACTTACCTCTTGTGACAGTAAGCTTTGAGGCCCCTTTATGTCCTTATTTTAAAAATTTCAAATGATTATAACATCATTAAAAAAATATTATTGAGAATAATTAATACTGAATATTATTTGTGACTTTATCATTAGATTGATATACTCGTATCCTGATTGTATCTACTTCAATTTTCAGTTGGCTAAAAGCTAACCTAAAACATAAAATTTAGATTAAAAACAAACTAAACTAAACAAAATTTGTTATACTTATTCATGGCTAAGTATTATTAAAACACATAATAATGAAATTATACTTACATTTACATTCATTAAAATTTCATTCGAAAAGCATAAAATGTGAAGAGAGAAAACGCAAAAAAACAAGTGCGTTAACCTAACCTAACTTTTTATACCGTATGATCGAAAAAAAAAAACGTCAGCGATAGCTATGAAAAGAATCGCTGTCATTTTATATGGGGAATGTCATCGATATTCATTTCCAAGCCAACTAGACGCCGTTTTTTTTTCGATCCTATGGTATATTTGTTATATTATTAATTAATATTAACTTGCGCGGATCTTTCATTTGAATCTTTGTTGCAATGTTGCAGAAAAAACGTTTTAATCACCATTCAAAAACAATGTTTCTGTAGCAAGGTTTCATCAATCACGACACAACGTTTAGAAATCAACATTACAAAGCAAACTGTTTGGGGATTGACTGCAATGTTGCAAATGTAATGTGAGGTTTTTTGCTTGGTGGGTAGGTACTATAGAAAATAATGACCCAAAACAACAAAAATCATACTTGCAGGTGCCGTATTCTATTTGTTCTATATGTTTCATTTTAGAGAATTTGTAATGATATACACGGTGTCCCAGGCTAAGGGTGCATTAGCAGTTTCTAGAGAACTACATTATATCTAGATCGGAGATTTTATGCACATCATTGTTTCACAATGAGATCTATCAATTAAATATATTTTCAATATGGCGGCATTTCCGGAAATACCGGAAGTTGACAGCAACTTTCTTATGTTAAATGGGCATCCCCATTTTTTATTACATATTTGAATTCTCTGTAAAATTTTATTAGTTTTGATATCAAACACTCTATACCTAACATTAACCGTTTTTGAGAAAAAAACTACTTGTCAAAAAAAGGTGTATAGCCTAAACGTCAAATTTAGTAACTGTCACAGCTACTGTGGGCATAAAGAGAAAACATGTGGATATCTATTTCAAAAATTAAATTGTTTGAATGGCATATTATATTGGCCGTAGCTGTCATTGAATTGAGCGATTAAAAAAAGTATCATAAATCATTTTTTCAAATGAAAACCTACCTTTTTTATTTCACAGTGAAAAGGTTTTACAATTCGTTACTTTTTGATTATACATGTTCCTATACCTAAAATAAATCGTTAGTTATTTAAAATTTAAGTTTTAAAGCGTTAATGTTTCTTGATTTTATCTAGCTTCCTTTGACATTAAGTGTCAAACAATCAGACAATTTATTTCCTTCTGTCAAAAAACTAATTATTTGAATTTCTTATATTAAAAATACTGCAGCTAAAACTTTATAAAGTGTTATAAAAATATATATCGTATTTTAGTGATATTTAATATAGTTGATATAAATAATATACCATATTATCGAAAAAAAAAATGGCGGAAAGTTGGCTTGGAAGTGACGATCGATGATATAGACAGGATCTATTTTTCATCTGGTCGGGCCCTAAGACCCAAGCAAAAATTCGGGCCCTCTTTTCCAATAAAATTCAAAAATTCAAGAAATTATGAATATTTTACAACCTTTAAAGGGTCCTCCAGACCACCGGGCCCAAGGCCCGGGCCTTATGGGCTTTATAGTAAAATAGGCCCTGGATATAGATACTGGTTTTTTTACAGTGTCACAATATGACATGGCCAGATCTATTGTTTTACATCACTTGACGTTTAAAGCCGTAGGCTACTGGTTAAAATCAAGAAAAATATTCGTTTTGAAACTAAATCTTAAATAACTTAAAAACGATTTATTTTAGTTAGAGGAACATGTATATAATATAAAAGTAACGAATTAAAAAACCTTTTCGGTAGCGAAATAAAAAAATTGCGTATCCATCTGAAAAAAAAAATGATTTATGATAATTTTTTAATCTCTCAATTCCATGACAGCTACGGCCAATATTATATGACATTCAACCAATTTAATTTTTGAAATAGATAGCTACATGTATTCTCTGTATGTTGACAATTTTTCTTGACAGGCAGTTTTTTTCTTCCAAAAATTTTGAATTATTTTTTTTTCTCAAAAACGGTTAATGTTAGATATAGAGTGTTTGATATCAAAATTTATAAACTTTTATAGAGAATTCCAATACGTAAGAAAAAATTGGGGTTCCCATTTAAAATAGGAAAGTTGCTGTCAGCTTCCGGTATTTCCGGAAGTGCCGCCATATTGAAAATATTTTTAATCGATAGATTTCATTGTGAAACAATGATGTGCAAAAAATCTCCGATCTAGATATAGTGATTCTAGAAATTTCTAATGTACGCTCAGCATAGGCCATCCTGTATATTATAGCAATATTTGTGGATCTACTAATTCTATATATTTTATCTACGGAAGTTCTTTCAAAAACTCTTGATTTTAAAAAGACGAAATATGCAAAAATCAAATAATTCAAAATATGCTTAATATTACAGAATATGCTGCCGAAGTTTCCCGAATACATTTCGGACCACCCTGTATAGTGGTTCTTGTTCTTATAGAGTATATAGGTCAGTAAGCATATAAGTAAACATATAGGGTAAAAATAAGGTAGGTAGTTATTGTGAATAAACATACATGTTGAAGTATAAAGATGTTTAAAATAAAACATCGAATTTATAGGTGGAGGGATTAGAAAAAATACTGGTGTTTAGACTTCGGCCGACCCATTTTTTATTAGCATACTTACAAATCCGGTCTTTTAGCACTTTTTTAAAACTAGGATAAGAGAATTGGCCGCGGTCCAGACGTGATAAAATTGGAAGGCAACGTCCGCGCGAATCTCAGTTTCGAAATTTGGTCCAGCCGAAACTCTCGGAGCGCGCGCCGCAGCGGGGTTTTTGAAAATTTATTATAATCGTCCGATAGAGAGAGAATTTTCCGCAATTTCAAGTTCAATTCCAGGCTCCAGACGGTTGTTGTTCCGAATTCGCGAAGGAAAAGGAAGCTTTGAATCGGAATAGGTGGGTCGTGTTGTGACTGAAACGGTTTCAGGTAGGTAAAGATTTGGTTTTCTGTGTGATCAAAGATGATGTATTTTATGGTTTTAGTGTTATTATTCATATATTCAATGTTATTATGTCGCCTAATATTGATGTGTACGGATGCTACCAAATATCCTAATATGGGTGATGAACAAATGCAAAACCAAGACCAAGACAATCTCTGGTCTTGGTTTTGCAAAGTTGGTCTTCGCCTTGGTATTGCTGCAAGACTCTTGCAAGTCTTGCACTTTTTTAACAGATATTTACTAGTAGCATCTTCTACATAAAAAAATCTTTAAATAAATAGTATTTTTAAGAAAATAATATAATGCAGATGACACTTGAAAGAAAGAAACAATATTTATCTGGCGAACATTTTTTTTCAATATCTATTAAATCAATTTCCTGTCTCACAATGTACCGTTTGTGGGGGAAGGGTTCACATAGTTTCATACTTGTCGATTTTCGAAAGAAATCAGTACATGCATATTATTTCGTATTTTTCATTTTATTGATTTTATGGAAAGCACTGTTCATTAAAATGTTGTATCCGATGTTATAGGGCTTGTTTCTCTCTACAATTGTTTGTCTCACAATATACTGTTTGTGTCCAGGAAGAGTTCATAGTTTCATAGTTGTCGATTTTCGAAAGAAATCAGTACATGCATATTATTTCGTATATTTTTCATTTTATTGATTTTATGGAAAGCACTGTTCATTAAAATGTTGTATCCTATGTTATAGGGCTTGTTTCTCTCTACAATTTTATGTCTCACAATGTACCGTTTGTGTCCAGGAAGAGCTCATAGTTTCATAGTTGTCGATTTTCGAAAGAAATCAGTACATGCATATTATTTCGTACAGGGTCCGGCAATAGTGCGTCGGGCATCTGTAACTCATAGAATAAAAAACTTGACAGTTTTGTTCAAGTGCAAATATAAAGTATGTATGAGGATGTATTTCCGGAAAATATTTTAATTTCTCACAATGTACCGTTTGTGTCCAGGAAGGGTTCATATTTTCATAGATGTCGATTTTCGAAAGAAATCAGTACATGCATATTATTTCGTATTTTTCATTTTATTGATTTTATGGAAAGCACTGTTCATTAAAATGTTGTATCCTATGTTATAGGGCCTGTTTCTCTCTACAATTTTCTGTCTCACAATGTACCGTTTGTGTCCAGGAAGAGTTCATAGTTGTCGATTTTCGAAAGAAATCAGTACATGCATATTATTTCGTATATTTTTCATTTTATTGATTTTATGGAAAGCACTGTTCATTAAAATGTTGTATCCGATGTTATAGGGCTTGTTTCTCTCTACAATTTTCTGTTTCACAATGTATCGTTTGTGTCCAGGAAGACTTCATAGTTTCATAGTTGTCGATTTTCGAAAGAAATCAGTACATACATATTATTTCGTATTTTTCATTTTATTGATTTTATGGAAAGCACTGTTCATTAAAATGTTGTATCCTATGTTATAGGGCTTGTTTCTCTCTACAATTTTCTGTCTCACAATGTACCGTTTGTGTCCAGGAAGAGTTCATAGTTTCATAGTTGTCGATTTTCGAAAGAAATCAGTACATGCATATTATTTCGTATATTTTTCATTTTATTGATTTTATGGAAAGCACTGTTCATTAAAATGTTGTATCCTATGTTATAGGTCTTGTTTCTCTCTACAATTTTCTGACTCACAATGTACCGTTTGTGTCCAGGAAGAGTTCATAGTTTCATAGTTGTCGCGCGATTTTCGAAAGAAATCAGTACATGCATATTTTTTCGTATATTTTTCATTTTATTGATTTTATGGAAAGCACTGTTCATTAAAATGTTGTATCCTATATTATAGGGCTTGTTTGTCTCTATAATTTCCTGTTTCACAATGTACCGTTTGTGTTCAGGAAGAGTTCATAGTTTCATAGTTGTCGATTTTCGAAAGAAATCAGTACATGCATATTATTTCGTATATTTTTCATTTTATTGATTTTATGGAAAGCACTGTTCATTAAAATGTTGTATCCTATGTTATAGGGCTTGTTTCTCTCTACAATTTTCTGTCTCACAATGTACCGTTTGTGTCCAGGAAGAGTTCATAGTTTCATAGTTGTCGATTTTCGAAAGAAATCAGTACATGCATATTATTTCGTATATTATTACGCCAGTTTTTTCCAATCATACAGTATTCCGGCGGTCAAAGAGCGAAGGGAAGTGAAAAAATCGATATTTTCTAAAAATAGCAGGGACTGCATACATTGAACTGCCGAAATCGTAAATTCTAACAAATAATAAAAATAAGGAGAATTCGCACTGTCAACGTTAACATCTTTTATCTCTTTTACCTTTTTTCGTGCGTATCCAACAATAATATTACGTTATTCCCACGCGACCTCTGACAGTAAAAAATATGTACTTATATAAAAACAGTTCTTTGTAAAAACTAGCCTATTTTTTTATTGATATTCAAATTGTCAGACCATTAATAGCAACAGGTAAACTACTGCCTTATCTAGCGGGAAGCAACTGATAAGTCACATGATTTGAAATTTACACGCTGTGGCCATCTCACCCGGTGGGGCATCTGTACCGGACTTACCCTACAGTTCGGACCACCCTGTATATTGAACAAAACACCACAGGTGGGCTGGAAGTTTTTCGAAGTAACGCCATTGATGGTAATTCTATTTTTGGTATTTCTATAGAGATTCTGGATCAATGAAATCAAACCAAGAGGCACAGCCATATCTATACATTTTTTTATATTTTATGAGATAGAAACCGTAGCGTTATATTTTAACTGGGAATAATTTCCGACATTTAGTCGAAAAGAAAAATTATATTTATACATTTCTATTAGCATTTTATTTCGATTTAGCTAAACAATTCTAAGCACATTATTTAACATAAGCTATACATGTCGGTAGTTGTCAGGTCGTCGTTCAAATTAATACACTTCCAATTACTCACCAGCAGACGATCTAATTGAAAAACAAAGAATTCGTTGACCCGCGATTTATTTTTCGATCAACATCAAAGTTTTATAGTTCGGATAATTTGCCAAATCAGCTCTGCCTCGTGCAACATACATATGCTCTAGTTTGATTGTGCGATTTTTTAACGTCGGCAAAAATAAACTTTATGCGTTCTGTGCCGAAAAAGTTAAGCCATACATAACTACCGTCTCTGGGTGATTGAACTTTAAAGATTTCGCGGTTCTATAGACTATTATTAGACAAAGCTAATGTCACGATCAAGAAAAAAGTCAAAGAATAATTGAAGAAGGCTATGGAATTAAGATCCATCAAGATGATTAGATCGATGAAACAGTCGAGCATTAAAACAGAATTAATGTTAGGTGACTATAGATTTCAGTCAAGTATATGGCGATTGGTATGTCATAATTTTTGATTTGGCGAGTTAATTATTGAACAAACGGAATGATTTAGATTTTTCTTAACATTCTGGATTGTTTCTGAAAGAGTCTCAGAGTAAAACAGCTTTAGCCAGATACCCTAAAGAAAAAATAATCTGTTTTAAGTGTAAGGAAATTTTGAACAGACGATTAGCTTAACCAACCCTCAAGCCAAACACTAACCGTGTAGTGTTGCAAAATTGGAGCTTTTTACTACAGACTCTGTATGAAGATATCAGAAATAGTAAGGCACACTATCTATGATTGGCGGATGTCCAAGGATAGAAAAATTATAATTTTAAAATGTCATTCAGCAAAACATCTCTATGATTTGATAAAAAATAATTCTTTAGTGTCGTAATGAGTCTTTAAAGCATAGTGCTGTATACAGGGTGAGTTTCCTACGATGTTCTCTATGGGCATCTCGGAAACTACTGGAGATAGAGAGTCGGTTAAATGGGGAAAGAATTGCAGTTTTGTGGGGTCATAAATATGCGTCTTTCAGATTTTTGAAAAAGTTCATGGCTTACTAGATATTTCGAAAAAAACAAATTTTGGCTATTTTAAAAATTGTCCCTACTTCCATTACAATCTATTTTAGACAAAAAATGTTCAGATAAAAGTTGTAGATAATCATATTCCTAATGAGTTTGTGTTCTCCGATTTTTTATAAAACCTGTCATTTTTGACATATAACACAAACATATGGTTTTTTAAATGGAAACCATAGTTGGCTGTGACTTCATAAAAAGCGCCATTTTTTAAGCTTTTCAGCAATATAAGCTATAATATGTTTCTTTTACAAAATTACTGAGTTATAGCCAATTCTTATCTTTCTTGACTAATTTCACTTAGTTAGTCATGGAAACAAGTTCAATCGTCGTTGCTCTCAGAAATGTGAAATTGTGTCACATCCAATCTTTGTAAATTAAAATAAACAAAAATTGTAAATAAAAATTTTTCAAATGAAGAAAAGCGTGTAGGATTATTGGTTCAACTTTTCTTGGCCATACAGGATACGTTGATCGGTGAAAGTTACTTACGTTTTCTAGAGAACGGTTTTCAATGGTGTTCAAATTTTGTTGTGATTTATAACATATAAAAAGACAAAATATGTAATTAAACGGCTCTTTACCATTTTGATTACACAAACGAAAACTCAAAAAATAATATCACTACGTACACTTTAAGTTATTTTAGAAAATGTTCAAAAATCCGCAATTATTTTAAGTACATAAATGCATCTTTTAAAACTGAATTTCTAGCTATTGTCACAAAACGACCGGTCGCCTTAATTAAACTTCTCCTGTTCCGCCTCTTCAAGTGCCTCTCTTAATTCATAAGTTTTTTGTAAACCTTGTTGTTAACCATACCGCATAAAAAATCTAAAATGGATAGGTCAGGTGACCGAGGAGACCCATGCAATTGGTCCACCTCCCTGAGTCTACATAATTATGATATAAATAATTTTTAAATAACATTTCTTTCATTGTAGGGGGGTTGGTGCGTCATAATGAAAGTCATGTTGGAACCACTGTACTAATGCGCAAGTATCTAAATTTAACTTTTCTAACATGTCTTGAAAACCGTTTTC